ATTCATGTGAAGGGAGGCAGGTCTCACGTCAGGCCATGTGGTGTCTAAAACTAAACCCAAACAATCCTGCAAGGACCACGGTGACCAGGTGAGTGTGCAAAACGTGTGGTTTAGGCTGGGGGTTGGAGGTAAGTTGCCACGGCCCCACCGTTGTCCCTGCTGCCAGGTCCACGGACACACTCCCAAATTCGAGGAGTTCGGCTGGGTCCAAGGCGCCCGTGCTGCTCCCCGGCGCCTGCTTGGAAACTGAGTTGTTGGGTGTTTGTACAGGCCCCATGGCAATGTTTTATGAGGGGGTCTCAGGCAGTTTTTCTTCGGCCAAAGTGCTCAGCAGCCTTCCCCCCCTCTGCGTTACCCGTCATGAGGGTTCTGGTTATTTTTATAGAAATATGAGGCCCGGCTAGCTCAGTCGGTAGAGCCAGGCTTGGGGTCCGAGATAGGACTGGGATGGGGAAAAATTCCCCTTTATGATCACGAGCAAAAGGCAGACTCGTTAGGGGAAGGAAAAAAAGAACATACATTTATTACAGACACTAACAACATGTAACAGAGTAGGACAGTGAGAAGCATTGACACATCTTGAGAACACCTTCCCCCCACCCCTCCCTCTGAGTGAGTGGGGGGGTTTTTTGGTGGCAGGGGAGGGGGCTATAGGGGCAGCCCCCCCTGTGAGAAGCTTCTCGAAGCTCCCCCTGTGCCACTGACCTTGGTGTTCACACAGCTGCCCCAACTCCCCCTCACCAGTCCCCCTGCTCCTCACCACGTCCCTTCTTAAATACGTTCTGGCAGAGGCGCAGCTGATGGGCTCAGTTTTGGTGCAGAGGTGGAGCTGACTTGGAGCTGGGGGAGCTTCGAGAAGCTTCTCCCAGGGGGACACCCCTATAGCCCCCTCCCCTGCCACCAAAAAAACCCCCCCACGCACTCAAAGCCAGGACACTCATGAGCGTGGTGCGGGAAAGCAGTATTTTGGTGCTACTGTGAGCATTCGTTTGTATGCCACCAAAATTGCTTTTGACTCCCCTAAATTGCGAGGGGAGGTGTTCGGTGGAGAAACGTAGCTCACCTTGTTCTGCTGGTGCTGGCTGCTGCGGGACAGTACTGTTGTCTCCAGAGAGCCCACCTTGTCATCCGATCAAGTCCGTCCTGAAGAGGACACCCACTTCTTGTTTAGCTGTACTTGAGACACAGGAAAAAATAACGAAGCTCCCAAAGGCCCGATTTGTTGCTTGCTTATAGACATCCTGTAGCTCAGACTGGGATTTTTCTATCCATGCCTGAACAGGGATAAACTCGGTGTAAACATATTGCCGGTAGTAGTCAGGCATCCTTTGCTCACCACAGAAACTGCATTTTTGCAACGCTTTGTGCTTCTGACCTTCCCACGCTGTTCAGAGACAGGTAGAGCTCCCTGAGTGCTCTTTTCCTGTGATGTCCCCCAAAACGAGCTCCCTGCAGCCTGCTATGCCCCTTTGCCTCTCGTCCTCCTAGCATGCCAGGTCACACGCAGAAGGTTTCCCGCTACATCGGTGCTTTTATCGCGCGCGCGCAGAAATGGGAACATGTGGGTTCAGCTGGAACCAGGACGAGCCCTCTGTGGATAGTTACTTTGCTCATTCTTGCCTAGGGAAGTAATGCAACTTTTACTGAAATATTTCCTTGCGTAGGTGGTCACTGAAGGTAAAGTTTTAGGCACAGTGTAGTGCATCCTTACAGAAGATAGGTTCATTAGCTTTAAGATGAACATCCAGAACTAAACATGTGACTATTTTTTTTGTTTGTTTATTTGTTCTTTAGCATTATCTTCTCATTCTTAAGTTATCCCTCTTCCGTGGGATTTTCCTTCAATAAATCCTATTTTCCAATGACAGTATAAGTATAGAATAATTAAAGTTTTATGTGGATGAATGGTGACACGGGATTCTTTATATCTCTCAGATAGAATTAAGTAGAATAGTCATCCTATTTGTATTGTAACATTTGAAGTAGCTATAGGATGCAGTGACCACCAATAATGAGAGAAGAATACAGCAAACTAATCATATTCTTCTGGGTTTAGACTAAGGGAGGTAATAATTATACTTGCCTGAGTTCTTAGTGCATTAATATTTTATGCTACTATTTTCTAATACTATACTAATGTAATTCTGGTTAAAATCAACCTCCTCCCTTTTCAGATTCTTACGTTTGGTGCAGGTTTCCATAGTTCAGAACTTCTTAATAAAGTATTTTACTGCTCAGCTTCCTCAGGTGAAGCTGGTAGAGCTTGAAATCTTATATAATGAGGCATAGGAATATGCAGAAAAGTGGGTGATAACGAATTTAAAACCTCTTCTGTAGAAAAACTATAGAGCAGAAAGCTTTATTTCGCTAAACATGCTGAAAAATTTATTAGGGTGTATACTTCTGGTTTGGGTTTTTTTTTTTTGTCTTTTCATGTATTTGATGTGAGTATACTGTCAGTTGTACTGATCTCTTGTGAAGCTGGAAAACAGCTAAAAGAAAAGCACAACAAAAAAAAAAAAAAAAAAAAAAAAAAAAAAAAAGCACTTTATTCACTCAAACAGATTTGGCACAGTTGTGTGACAGCTTAAAGGCTCCCTGCACAGACGTATCAGGTTGCTTCAGTCAGGAATCTTTTTCAGGCCAAAAGAAGGAAAAGCTCATTGTTTTTAAAAAAAAGGTTAATATTTAAAAAAAAAAAAAAAAATGCAGGGTTTCTAAATTTAAACTATGTCTAATTCTATGTCTTAGTTTGGGCTGAAATAGAGTTAATATTCCTTTTTGGGAACTAGAAGAGTGCTGTGTTTTGGATTTAGCTTTGGGGTTGGTACGAGAAGGATGCTGATAGCACACTGATGTTTTCAGCTGCTGCTGAGACTTCAAGGACTCTCCGACTGCCCGTGTCCTGCCCGTGCGCAAGGGCACAGGGAGCAGGGAGGGAGCACGGCCAGAGCACCAGCCCCAAACTGGCCAGTGAAATATTCCATAGCATGGAACTGTATAGAGGAAAATATGGAAATATTCCATAGTCATGGTCACTGTATAGAGGAGGGGTGGGCGGGAAGGGGCTCTCTCCTTCTCTCTCTTTTCTGGGATTGTGATTGCGGGATCTTGATATTTTGGGGGTCGCTGGCCGGGAACGGGCTGGGCATTGGTCAGCGGGTGGGGAGCATCGGTGTGCTCTCAGCATTCTTCCCATACCAACCCCAAAGCTGAATCCAAAACACAGCACTCTTCTAGTTCCCGAAAAGAAACATTAATTCTATTCCAGCCCAAACCAGGACAATAGTGGGAAGTAATGTATTGCTTATTATGGATGACACGAATTCCAGAAAGGAAGATCACTCTCAGGGCCCGGTGTGTCAGCTGAAGCTACAGTTGTTTAGTGATTTTGAAAATCAGGCGAAAAGAAGTTCAAAATGGAAAAAGTAATATTTCAAAAGAAGCCACTGTCACTCATCACCACCCACTAGGGCTCCATTTAACAAGGTAATTTAAATTAATTACTTCCAGTTTAGCACTTTACCATTATCATTTGCCAGAAGACTCTTGCTGTGTTTATCTTCAATATTATTAACTTCATTGGTCATGAATACACGCATTTTAGCTGAGTGTCTCATTGAAGGGCTACCTTCTTAATCTATGAAATCTCACTACAGTGAGTCAATATAAACCACAGATGGTAGATATTTGGAAATTCGTGGTGGTGTATAGAGTTGAATTTGTCAGCTTAACACTTCTGATGCCAACTAGAAATTGAAAGTCGTCCTTTTAGAACTATTTGCGTGTAAATTAGGCAATTATCCTTCTTTTTTAGCACTATCAAATCTGATAAATATTTAACGCACCTTCTCTTCCTTTAAAAAGAGACCTCCAAAAAGAAGTAGTTAATTTTATTTGCGTATTCTTGTTCAGAACGTAGATACTAGGAGTTATAGTCACATATTCATAAGAGATCCAGCATCTGTTGGGAAAAGGGAAAACAATTCAAGATTTACAGTCCATTTACTCATTAAAAAGAGCATTTATTCTCAACATCAGGAAGAAAAAAATTTACAGTTTGAAAAGTTAAAATAATTTGTGTCTTTGTTTTTCTTTTACTGATGGATGCGACAGATGATTTTGTTCTCCCCTATAAATATCTTGTAAAAATGCACGGAAAAATTATTTAATCATGACTATAATAATCAGTTCCCTGTTATCAAAAGAATGATTATTACCGAGTAACTGCAATCCTTTTTGTATTCTTGGCATGTGAGAAAGACCTATATTGAAGCATAAACAGATCATGCCTTGGAGGAAAGTGTACTTATTGCCTAATTGAACATATCATTCATTTTATCATTCGAATACATAATTTATTTTATAGAAAAAGCCCTACCTAACCCATCCCATCCCTGGTGTGCATGCTCGTTATTTTAAAAATGAGACCATTGCTTCCATTGCTTAAGTGCTTTTACGTGGAAGCACAAACATATCTGAATTTATTCTCTTGTGTAGGCCAAATGAATTAACTTAGCTGCACATTTGAGTAATAGAAAAAAGTCACATGATGATCAGTAGAACCAGGAATCATACTCATAATTTCTTTTAGAAATCACATGTAACTGCTCACTTGAGAAAGCAACTTCAAACTTTCTCCATAAAAATGGAAAATCAGACAAATAGAAGGATGCAAAAAAGTTGCAAAATGTTAATGTTTTTGCTTTGAAATAGTGTAATTTGTATATCAAGACTAAGAGACCAGTTTCTATACATATTTTTTAAATTACTTAATTAGGAAATTAAGACACTTCTCTCCTGCTGAATGAATGCTGTACATGTTGTTCATTAAAGGATATGTAAAATAGCACTTGATATATTTTAAGAACGTTATTTATTCTTAAGTCAGTTCCTTTATCCTTAAATCAGTTTCTTCAGAATAGATTTACATCTGGATACTGATGGCACACTACTGAATCATTTCATTAAAAATTAACATTTTTTTTTTCTCTTTTCAGTTCAACAGAAGAGCAGTTCCACTGGCAAACACAAGGTAATGTACTTATCTACATATATGTATTACATATATTCTCTCGCATAATGCTCATAATTCCTGAAGCAGATGGAAGGGAAAACAACATTTATTTATGCTATTTTTTTTTTTTTTCATTGCTAGTGTGTGAAAACCCTACTTAAAAATGGCAATTTTTGCCAAAAGTTGTTAGGGTTGATAAAGAGAGCACCAAGATTAATAGAGAGTTTTGAGAGGGGGCATTGCTAACTGTGTCTCTAACTTTTTTTAAGATTAGATCTGAACTTTCTCATTTTGCTTTCCTTAATCCAAGGCCACGCTTTCAAAGGATAGCATAATTTTCAATACAGCCAGCCTCCTCTGAATACGTGATCTTAGTGTGTTCTCTGTTCCTTCATCAGCTGTGAATGCTCAGTCAAATGTAACCAGTTTTATCCTTTGTCTTATAACAGGTTTTACCTTTTGCTTTTTTTTTTTTGTTTTGTTTTTAACGTTTTTATGTTGTTAATTTCATTACAGATGGTCAGAAGGATATAGAAGATGAGCTCACCACTGGTCTGGAGCTGGTGGACTCCTGTATTAGATCACTGCAGGAATCAGGGATACTTGATCCACAGGACTATTCAGCCGGTGAAAGTAAGTTGCCAGAAATGTGTTTCCTAGAACCCAGACATACTTGTAACATTTCATGCTTTAAAACTAAATGTATATCTTACAGTGTTTCTCTCGATTATTTTCTGATATTGGCAGAAGTCAATATAGCTGCAGGCAGGCAAACTGCCGCCTTGACTTGGCAAGTTTGACTTTTGGTTTTGTTTGTAATGGAGAGAATCTCACTGATAGTTTGTGGGGGAAAAACCTGCAAACATGTGGAATATATTTTATGAAAAATATTATGTAATTTCAGTATTGCTGTACTGTGCTGTAAGGTCACGTCACAAGACTTCAGCATCGCCACTACAAAAGTAATTTTTGAACAGCACTTTTTCAGTATGCAGAAGTATTAAAATGGAACGCAGGGTGGGGCTGTGAGTAACTCTGATGTCTCTTTGAAACCACTTGGCCAGGTTTCTGGTACTCCTTAAGACTAAGATTTTCAAATGGATTCACAGAGAGAAATAGGTAGGTGACCTTTTAAAAGATGATGCAGAGCATGGCCGCTGCAGCAAGAGAGCTGAAGTCTCTTCTCAAAGGTTGGCTCGCTGGTCGTTCAGCAGCCGTTCTGTTTGCAGAACCGTGCAGTGAGTGGATAGATCCTCTGCTCGGACCGACCACTGGGGAGGTGAATCAAGGCTAAACAACAGCAGGAGAGAATGAGGGCCATGCCACTCGACTTATTTGTAGAGCAGATGTCTGCGAACGCTTGTGCTCATGAGTCACATGCACTAAGTTTTCCAACAGGTTAACATGTCTGTTATCAGATGTAGCATTAGATATTGAAAAAGCAGGTGAATTCCCCATTTTCCTTTCCTTTTCCTCAGTCTTCTGATACTCTGTTGCTATCTGCCACAATGTATGCCCTCTTTCACTTCACTCCTACTGCAACTCCTGGTGCTACATCGGCTTTTCAGTTCTCTCTACTATTCCTCTACATCTCCTTCCCTCTCCTCAGTTGAGCCATTTTTATCTTTTTCAATCCCCTGCTGTCCAGTACCCTCTCTGACAGAGTCATGTCTTTCAAGAGGGCTCCCCAGATTCATCTTTCTTGAAACCCAAGGGGATGATCTCCCCTTCATCTGGAAAGGCTGATGGAATGTGACAGCCACCTTCTGCAAAGCACCTCTGGCAATAACAAGTCATCGCCTGGAATGCGGTCATCAGGTGATGAAAGGAAGGCATTGCAAATTGAATGCAGAATTGTAATTTGTCAGAACATTTTTCATTACTTTACAGCAAGATTTGCAGTAAAATTCAGAGCTGACAGTCCTGGGACAGTGGAAAATCTTGTGCTTTTCATGTGCACGAGATTTCCAGGCCAACTTTGTCACTAACGCTGTTGTTAAGAAGTTGCTTGATCTGAACACAGTGTGTGTGATTAACATCTGTTAAGGTGTTGCTTGGTCTGAAAAAAGTCGGGAAAACGTGGTGAAACAATGGAAGCCCTTATAAGCTGCCCTGGATTTTTTCTTCATTTGGGAGTGAGGAGAAAGAGATTAAAGGACTAGCATGGTAAGGATTGCATTCAAAATGTGATTCAGCAGAAAAATTAAACTGGGTAGATGGCAATGGAGGAGATTGGGGGCAGGGAGGGACTAGCTTGGATGGGAAACTTGTAGAAACTGGCTGAAGAGCTGGAAACTAAGAAAAAAATGTTAGAGACTGGTGAAGACAGTAGACAGAGAGAAGTCTGGGTATGTGAAGGAAACTAGTACTAAAGCAAATTTCTGGGAGCATCACAAAAAGGTAAGAGGCAAATAGGAATTTAGATAGATTGGGAGGAGAATAAGGAACGTGGGCAAATGGAGAACAGTGATGGATGGAGAAGAGAAGCAATGGATCGGGATTGTGTGGGGGACCAGCAGGGGAGGAACTGAGATTTGTTGAAGCGGGAGGTCCAGGCAGAAAGTTGAAAGCGGGATTTGCTTGGTGGGATGGTTTGTTCATGAGACTGGGAGTTAGGTGCCAAGACAGGGAACAACAGGGTGATGAGGACGGCATTCAAGAAAGGAAATAGTGATAGAGTTACGACAGGACAGTAGCTGTCCCTGAGAAACAGGTTTGGAGAGAACAGGCCGGTGCACGTGCTCACAAGTGGGCACGCTTCCCCGCAGAGCTGCAGGCTTGATCTTCATCGTCAGGAAATACTTGTGAAGCCTTACGTCACGGTGCCCTGTACTCCTCTGCTCCAAGGCCACCTGGTAAGGAAAACGGATTGCTATTTGCCATTTATGCTTTTAATTAAGAATCAGTTACATATATGCCAAAGCTAATAGTTGGAGCTCTGCTAATCACTCATGAAAGCAATTAGGATGCCGTAGGCTCGATTTTGTTTTTGGTTTGGGGGTCTTATTTCAATTTAGAATAAAATATCACAAACACATCAGACAATTAAAATGTTCCTGTGTTTGCAAAGTCAAAACTACAAAAGTCAAGGCTGTCTGTACAACATAATCTGAATTTCTTATGACTGCATTATAAAACTATTATCATGCCCTGTTTTCTACATTTTCTGTACATTTCATGCCTCATTTACCCCAAAGCTAAGGCTTGGATTGCACAGCATACTGGAGGGGGATTTCATCTGGGGCACTTCTGACTTCTCTAAGCAATGAGTAGAACACACACACACTAAATGAAAACAAAAGTCTCATATTTGATAGTTCAGCTTTGCACTTAAAATTTAATTGTATCCCTCCTTCCTGTCCCAAAGCTCTGATGTTGTAATTGTGAAAACATTCAGAGTATCTTCTGCTGATACTTAGTTTTAGGTGTTCCCGGTTAGCTCGCAGGTGTGCTGAGAACAAACAGCTGTAACCGAACACTGTGGAAGCACAGTCCCAAATACATGAAGCATGATCTAAAAGGAATTTTAAAACTCATCTCTGAAGTGTCTCACCCACAGCGTTTGTATTTCATAGGCGCTTTCAATCTTAATTCCTTCAACCTCCAAGTAGGAAGTGGGATCTATACAAATGTCTCACTTCACAGGTATTCTAAAAATAGTTATTTGTGATGTATTTGAAGTAAATGTTGAGTGTCATAGAATAATACACAGAGTGCTTTTTTTTTTTTTTTTTTCCCCTTTGTATCGGACATTTTTCAACGAAGGCCTGAGGTCATGAGGTGAAAAATGAGGCAACTACAAAACACTGAATGGTTTTGCATTGTGTGCGCTGGCTGTAAGAAAAGAAGGGAGGGAAAGAGCCATGATTCAGAAAAGGCAGCTTAGTCTGTCATTTCCTAACTTTTGAGCTCTTAACCTTACAATTTTAGGGATGTTTACTTTTGCAGCTTGACCGCATAGCTGTATTTTAAGTAACGAAGCTGACTTTGAGCAGAGCATTTCCAGCCTGCCACGGCAGTTCCAGTCTAGTTGAGACAGATTTTCTAAGTCATCATATGAAAGCCTACCCAGGAATGTGACCGCAGCTTCTTCTCTGAACTGTATGCGTCTAGTCTAACGAGTTAATCTATCAGTAGCTCTGCCTTCGTAGAGGATTAGTGTGTCTGTAGTCAGAATCGTTACGATTCGGTTTCATGCACTCTGATTTTCTCAGAATTAGTTTTAAAAAGTCGTCACATAGGAGGCAGCTGTTATAATACTCTAAATCCCAGACATCTCTTCACATGTGCTATTCCTTTAGTAGGAAATAAAAGCCATGAAAAGAGGCTGATGGGACAAGTCACATGAAAGCGGCTTAAACAGGAGGGGTTCTGTATTGCTAATAGAGATGCTTCCTAATTATCCTTATTGAGTGTGAATCAGCAAATAAAAAATAGAATAAAGCTTTTATAAATTTGGTGAAATGTAAACAGAGCGATCACAGTTTTTAAAGCAATTATTGTCAAAGATGGGCAGATTCATAACTGCTACGGGCTCTCATACAGGTTTTCTGTGGTCGCGCTGACCCTGGGACAAGGTTTTATGCATCTGAGGGGAACTCCGGTACCGTTGCCCATTTCTTTCTTCTGTCCCAACTCGGTATGAATCGATTTCCCAAAACCATGTGTTTCCAGTTACAAGTGAACAAACAAAAAATAAGGGAACTTCCAGAATTAGGCGAGAAGCTGCAGCTGAGTTAAGACCTGAACTTGCACCTCTGTGGTCCGGTTCCCTGTACTGCAGGGAGTTCTCCTGACGTAGCTACAGGTCCGTCACCGCTGCCTCACCCCGGTTTGCATCACACAGGAGCTGACGTGGGTTTTGTGGAGCTAGCGGGGAGTTCGGCCTGCCCGAAGTGTTTGTTTGTGGGGCTGTCAGGAGCAGATCCACCCAGAGGGTGGGCAGGTGCTAGTGGCAGTGGCCATGAGCTACGGCGCGTCCGAGGGACCAGCCCGGTCCCGCGGTGTCACTGTGAGCGAGGGCGCTCGCTCCGTCCCCCTCCCCGCCGAGCACCGCTGTTACACACAGCGTGGCAGCCTGTACCTGACGCCAGAGCTGCCTGCTCCTCTCTGAAACTATTTCTTCCCTCCACCGTTCTCTCTTCCTGAAGGGAACGCGAAAACGGTGCTTTTGGGCAGGCGAACGTGAACAACTGGCAATTTAGGTAGGGTCAGGGGGAAAGACCAGGCAGGTGAGAGCCAAGCTAATCGCATAGAAGGCACTGGAGACAAGTCACGGGAATGCACGGTAAGTGTCGGACCTGAAATCCCTGGGGAAGGAAACATGCAGGGAGTGAAATTTAGTTCAGGACAGAGATAACACTGTGGACGTTTCAGACAGACGTGAGACACCGAAGTACTTCATAGTGACTAGCTCAGGAAAAGTGTTTTCATGGCAGAATAGGTTAATTTAGTGGGGACATACATGTGAAAAATACATTTGGTGAGGGCTGAGTATGTATTGTGGAGACCAAAAATTAATATTTCAGATTAGAAAGCTTGGATAGATGGAGGATGAAGGAAACAAGACACTTTTTCCCTCCCCTTCCCATCACTGCACCACTGCATCAAAACCACACAACTGCTGCAGAATC